CAAAACATAAAGAGGATGGCTAAGTGAAGTAGGCGGTGTAAAAGGCGGTGTAAAAGGCGGTGTATAAAACGGTGGGCAGGAGATAGGTTACAGTTCTTGGAGCAAACAGAGCTTGGATATGTAGCTAACTTACCTAAGTAGGCGGTGTGCTAGGCGATGGGTGGGAAGACTGATACTGTCGTAGGCTAATTAGGAAGGCGGTGAACTGTCCTTCACTGTCTGACGTATCTTATGATTGCTTGATTCAGGGCCCAGGAGTCCGTCAGGACTCCTGGGCTATTGTACGGCCCACCGCAGGTTACGTATCCTGAGTTGGGGTATAGTCAGGTTATGGATTTTGTGGAGGATGTATGGAAAGATGAAGGGGATGAGCTGAGGAGTCCCAAGGTGCGCGGGTACCCCAAGGAAAGGGCGCCTCCACGGTTCTGAGTTGGGGAAACGTGCGCCTTGGCACCTGGCGAAGCCAAAGCATGGCGACATCACAACTTTGGGGGGCTGAAAACTCTAGATTGCTGATACTGACAACATGGCCCGCAATGCCCGTTTTGGCGAACATTTGATCTTATCAGCGTTTGCGCACAATGACTTAGAAATTAGTACTCCAGTCAAACGACGGTGCCAGCGACGGCGCCATCTCTACCTCGGTTCCGCGCGAGATTCCGGGATGCCCATGTTTTGGACCAGATTACGTTCGAAACTAAGGAAATTGAAGGACGCTCTCTCTTCAGTCGTTACCGTAGACCTTCGGTCATATGACCGATGCCTACTACCACGAGCTTGCTTCCGGCCGGGGCGAATCAGGTTCCTGAGCTACCTGCGAATGGAGTGTCTGACTCTGGGTGTGTGGTAGCGTTACCTGTTGTTCTAGCCGCTGAGTACATTCGAGCACGGGAAGGCCACTGACAACTGTACAAAGATGCCACCAAGCTCCATACACCCATGTGGCAACGGAGGCCGTCTATGACATTGGAGATGCAATAGTTACCGGTATACCTGCTATATGCATGGGGTGTCGCCGCCCGAGGCCGTAGTAATGTCTGTGGTTGGCCAAGCGCGTTGGATGATTTTTTCCCCGAAGCACGGGAGCCTATTGGATTCGTGACAGGAAGGGGTGCTCGTCAAGTGTCACTGTCTGCGAGTTGCGGGGAAAGAAGCAGGAAGAGAGGCAAAAAGAGTCTCGTCAGCCCCGGTCACCAGCCAGCTCGTTCGGGATGGACTGACAGGGAGGTGTGCCCGCCGCAAGTACAAACCGGCTAGCCCGGCTTGACAGGTTGGGAGCCTACTTGCTTTCCACACCACCCACGAGCTGCAGGGAGCAGGAATAGCTGCAGAAATGGACGCCGGGAATGTTTATCAACCGTTAGCCCGAATCC